AAATTTCTATGTCCTATCTGTATACAATTTATTACAGTTACATTTAAGTTTATATATACCAACATTTTCAAAAGAAAGATGGTTTTTTTGTGAAGTTTTTAGTTATATTGTTTATATGTTTGATTAAATTATTATTAGGTAGTCTTAAAAGCGATTTTTATATTATTATACAGAATTATAGCAAATTCGTTAGACATATTATTTTAATATTTCATATTACAATAGTTAGGTTATGTATTATTTTTTCTTTGAGACGTTTATGCATTCTTTTAATAGCATTTAAATTCAAATTATTTCTATGGGCTATATTATAGATAATATTGAGCTCGTGTTGATAATTATGTTTATTTAGTGGAATACATTCAAGCCTATAGAATATTTAATTAAAAAAATGATATTTTTTGAAAACAAGGGTGATTAGAATCGTGTGGTATTTACAGCATCAGTTTGTGAAGTTTCATGTAAATGCTTAAATCAAATTTATTGTTTATTATGGAAACTGTTAGATCTAAGAAATTTAATTTATTATTTATTTGCATTTTGAGTGTAAATTTTATGTTTTTATTTATTTTTTTTAAATAGTTAACTAAATTTTCTCATTGTCTATTTGAACCTCTAAATAAAATGAACTTGTCATCAACATATTTATAATATGCTATTATATATGGACTGTATAATATTTAGTTCTTAATAATATTATTGGTTTCATTAATTTACATGTAAATTTCAGATAAAAGAGCACTTAAAGGATCACCCATAATTAACCCATCTTTTTTCGAGTATAATTTATTATTATTTTGGAAATAGTTTTCTTTAATAATTACATTTATTAATTGTATAATTTCTTGTACTTGGTCTGCATTAAATTTATTTCTATGTATAAGTTTATTTTTTAAAAATTTACTTTATTGTGTTTAGTAATGGATGTTTATACATTTTTGATGTCAGTAGAAATCATTTTGTAACCCGACTCAATTTTACCAATCAAAACATAAATGTTTTTTATTGAAATATCAATATTCATGTTTAATTTTTGTTTTTTGAGAAAGTCTAAATGATTAGCTTGCTAAATATTAATTAACCCCTTGGGATTAAGCTGGAGCACTTTTAAAATTAATTAATGGATGAATCGCATTATCTTATTTTAGTAATTTCAAGTGTAGAGCCTCTATTCAGTAATCAGATTTTAATAATATTTTCTTTTATACATTAGTATAATTTTTTTCGAATTTGTTATCAGTTTATTCATTTCTTTAGTGTAATTTATAGTTGGGTCATATGTTAAGATTTGAATAATATTATTATTTATAAAATATAAAGTTTTTTTTATGAATTTCATAAGTATAAATAATAACAACAACATTCGATTTATTTACTGGAACTATTTTTGAATTATTTGTTTTTAATTTATTCACTATGTTATTAATAATTATATTTTGTCGGTTAACTATACTATTTTGTTTTAATATTTTATCAGGCATATTTTTGTAGTTTGTACAATAGTGCTGTTTAATAAGTAACATACTGTTTGATTTTGATTTTGAAATTGTATATAATTTATAAAAGATTCGCATTGTATTTATTATTTTTAATTGATTGAAAATTTAATGTTAGATATGTATTGAATTTATTACCTTTATTTAATAAATTTTTTTCAGCTTTATTGAAAATTATGGAAGTTAAAATAGTAACTCGTAGTTGAAAAGAATACTAGTTTTTAAGTGTAATTTTTATGTATTTCGTGCTACTAAAATATTAATTTTATCACTAACCCCACACCGTTTCTCATTTTTCCTATGTAGTTATTTTTGTTGGATATAATTTTTAAAGTATGCAATTTGTAAGTGGTTTAAATTTTGAGATAAAATTATTTCTAAATTATTAATCTTTCCTACTATTACGTGTTTTTTGCTGAATAAATATTTTATTTCAGAGTTCAACTTTATTGTCTCTGCTCTTTTCTCGGCTTTGATTACAACTTCAGACATGTCTGACACTTAAGACAACTTCTGTACATTTGATTTGTATATTGATGTATTTTGGAACAACTTTCAATTTCTTACAAGTTTTTTTATTGAAGTAGATTTGTATATTGATATTCAATAATATCATGTTTAAATATTCAATCCTCCTCATTAATTGAGTCGAAACATTGGCTTGGATTGCTATAATAAATAATAAAATAATAAAGTAAAATCAAAATTATTAAAATGGTTAGTAATTAATAAAATAAATAAATTAAATAAATATATAAATACAAAATTTAAGTATAAAAATAAAAAATAAATAAATTAATGAATGCATGACCTGGAGAATTATGATAAGTGTATTATACAACCGGTTTCGAATTAAAAATTGATCATCAGGTATATCACAATCAAAATGTAAAATGCGACTGAATATAAAAAATTAAATGAAGGAATACATATAAATGTATATAAATTGGTCGTTTTACATAGAAATAATTTATTTTAATAGGAGATATTATTTAAAATGGGTTATTATTATTATTAGATATATATTACGTTAAGAAATATATATTATTTGGTTATTATATATTAGCTAAAATATATTGATGTAAGATATTATTTTCAAAATCAATTTTTGCATTTAAATTATTATTCAAATTATTTTTCTTTATTTCTGTATATATGTAATTCTTTTAAAACTGGATCAATGTAAATATTATTTTGGGTATTTTATATGTCTAAGTCTATATTAATATGAAATCTTATACTATAGTTATTTTCTAAAACATGTTTAGTGATATTTGAATTTGGAGCAGTCTTTTTAATTTTATTTCAGAAATGTGTTATTTATATCTTATTTTAAAATTTCTATTTATCTCACGTACATAAAATGTATTACAGTTACATTTAAATTCATATATACCAGCATTTTCAAAAAAAAGGGGGATTTTTTGTGAGGTTTTTAGTACTGCTGTTTATATGTTTGATTAAATTATTATTAGTCTTAAAAACGATTATTTAATTAATTTAATTTAATTAATAACATTATTTGTATTATTTTTTTGAACTTTAGTGAATTTGTTAGACATATTATTTTTCAGACTACCTCCAAGAATTGAAGCCAAGTGCTGCCTATGATAATTGTCGACTGTTTTCTCTACGTGGACACATTTTCTTTTAGTTTTTTAATGTGCATACATAATTTATATAATATGCAATTATATTAATATAATAATAGATACCATACTAAATATTCTACCATGATACAAAGATTTAAAAAGTGGTAGCGGGTAAATAGTACGAATTAAGAAATGCATTATTATTATCATTAATATTAATATTATATTAAGATATATATATGTATATCTTAATTCATAGTAAGTAATATAAATAGCAATACAGTAAAACGTCCATATATCAGTCACTGATGGGACAGGAAATAGTGACCGTTACATTATAGAGGTTAGGGGAAGTTTTACTGTAATTGAAAAATACTTTTTATTTATTTATTTATTTTATTATTTAATGAATATTTATATTATTTTTTACACTATACATGTAATTATAATAGCATTATATACAAGTACATACATAATATACAATATTCAATTTGCCAACAAATTATGTTTTAACTAATTTAGATACTTTTTTTTTTTTTCGTTTTACTTTCTTTTTTATGTTTTGATTCACCAAGTAAGAATACTGTCTCATTATTATGTAATATAAAAAAAATACATTATATGTATCCAGGGCTGGCTTGAAGGTAGTACAAGCTTTGCACTTACACCTAGCTCCACGCTTTTGGAGACCTTGCGTTTAAGTTGAAAGGTGTTAGGTTAGGTTTATTTAGCTATAATTGCAACATAGCTAAATATATAAGATAATTTAGAAAAATTAAAATTAAAATTAACGGACTAAAAAGAATTGTATTGCAAAGAATCACCTACACATGGTATAAGACGGTGAAAAAATTAAAAAAGATTATTGAGGCCCCCGCAAAGAGAGCACTGTGCATAGCCTCGATATTTTCTAAGCTGGCCCTGTATATATTTTCAAATATATCACAAGAAGTCACATATTTTGAAAACATGTTTCTATATGTTTTAAAATTAGGTACAAATTACAATATATATATAAGTTAGGTATCCTCTAATTTTATTATTAAGCATATCAGTTTCACTACCTACAGTTGAAGTATTTACATTTTTTATATTGACAAATGACAATACATAACTGGCACTTAGTACTTTATACCAATCGTTTAATAAATATCATGGGGAAAAATTGAAAATGTTGCAGTTATGCACACGAATTAAAATATATATTAATATTATTATTATAGGATGTATTTATATTTATTTTTGTATACACAAAATATATTTTAATTCGTAGTTATGTAACTAATAATTTAAATCGTGGTATTTACAAATTTGGCGGTAAATATCTTGTAAAAGTTACCACTAATATGATAACAAGCGCTAGGTGTACAATGTAACAGCTGTTCTGATGAATAAGTTTGTGTCCCAGAAAAATAGTGCCTTATATAGGTCATTAAGTATACACTATACAGTATATTTTAATTCATGGACACACCCACAATTGTCAATATTTTACGCGTTATAACGGAGTAAGCCAAAACATTTTTGTTCCTGAATGTTCGCATTTTGTAATATTAAAAATATATTAAATACAATTTTGTTGAGTTTTGCAATGTTTCTATCATTGTACCGTAACTGAAATATTCACATAATATAAAATTTTACAGTTTAAAATAATTATTTTGCAAATACCTAATATATCAACAGTGAAGACATTTAAATTCGACATTCAGACACCACGGACATCTATTATAATATTTCAAGTATCTATGTAGTGTTCCACGTGAAAGGAGTTAGTAAACTCGACACATTTCTCTATAACAAAGAAAACGGGTCTGAATAAATTGCACAGAAAGTTGGACAAGTCGTGCATGTTATTAAATTTTATAATAGTCAGTTATGTCAAGTATGTAAGTCAGTTATTCTTCTTAATATGAACCATTTAGGGAATCGGAGGCTTCAAACTAAATATAAACATAAAAAAGAAGAGTTTCCAGAATCACTATTTTCCCTGTCCTTGAAATGTGTTGCGCACAATTTGCACTTCATTTGTAGAGCTACATCATCTGGATATCAATTAAACGAAGGAATAAAATTACCTAGTTACATAAGTAACCCGTTTTTTGAAATATATCAAAATGGCGAACAAATATCTGATTATTTTGTTTCTTTATTCAAAGATGTCACCAGGACTAACTTAACGTCGGTTAATATAAATAATTCGAAAATCACAGACGACGGTCTTCTATGCCTGCTACACGATAATTTATATGATCTTACCCTTACCAACTGTCATGGTCTCTCGTCGAAAACCTATATAAATATATCCAAGCACGCTGTAAAACTTCAACTATTAAATATTGATCACAGTGTACCAATAAACCCTTTTGAAATGCTGAAAAACGGTTTAATACCTAGGAACAATTTTTGTCCACCAACATCCAATCTCAAACATTTTGTATTACGGTCAATAGAAAAATTTCTGAGTTGTATACTTAAAAACCTTTTAAACCTTAGGGTATTGGATCTCTCTTATTGTTTAGATCTTGGCAGTTTTAAATTGAATCACATAAATCAACTTCCCTACTTACATACATTGATACTTTTCAATGTGGATCGTTTGCCACACTTTATTGAAACAGCACACGATATCTGTACACAGGAATCTCTCATGTGAGTATTATACAAATGTATTTAATTGTATCAATTTAATATTTAAAAACTGCATGTGCCCAGTGTTTTAGATATATCACAAACAGATCAAAGACAAGGTGTTTACAAAGATGGAAATAAAACATTGGCACTAATTGTGAAATATTTTCCAAATCTCATGTATTTAGATATTTCTGGAACAAACTTAGCTGGAAAAGGTAAGTTCACGATTTTTTTCTTGTCAACTATTTTCAAATGTCTTCCTATTTGTCTTCACTGATTTAGGTATTGCTGAATATTCTCAATTATATGAGTCATTGAGTAGCAAGAAGTCAGACATTCTTGGTTTAGAAAGCCGAGTAGATAATCCTTTAGAATTTTTAGGTTTATACCATACTACGCATAATGCTTGTAAACGACATGATATTCCAGCAAAATCTGTAATTAATGAATATATATATATACTTAATATTTAATAAAAAAAAAAAAATGGTTCACTAATATATGAAGTTATGTTTGTATTTACTTTTCATAGATAAGTGGTGATGCAAATGAAATACAACTATTCAATGCTGCTGTCTCATGTATGAATAAACCAAAACAACTAAAAAACATATTAGATGATTTTACTTATTTGTTGAAAAATAACCGATGTATGCAGACTATTCAAACACTGGATATAGTATTAGAAGCTCTTACTAAATATGTAAATAACCGTCTTATCCAAGTTTCTGGAAAGTTAGTACTTACTAATGCATTTTACTATATAAATTATTAAATGTTTAATTAAAAATTGTTTAGTTTTACTCTGTACTATATTTTGAAAAGCCCGCCATTTGTATTGACCAATGTAACAGCTAAACGTATCCTTACTACAACATTAACTGGGATAGAGTTTCACAAATATGATGGAGAAATACTGTTCAATGGATGTCATGTTATCTGTCATTTGAGAGTTGAAGATGTGGTATTTATCAATAAATATTATTTTTATAAAATATAGTTTATGTTTAAATGACAGTGCTAATCTCAAGAATTTCTGAAATGGATTTGGATATGGTTTTCAATGTTATAATTTGCAATTTTTGAAAATGTATAACTGGTTTTTCCACAGAATTTAAATCCTAAATTATGGTATACTTGATTTTTGAACTTAGAATTTTAAAATTAATTTCTTTATTTGTGGGTATCCTTGGTGGCATACATGAAACAAAAAACAGTTATTTTGGACAAAATAATCACTTTTTAAAAAATGATAAATAAATATACAAGTGTTGAACAGACATTTAATTTGTCATGGAAAGATCTTGTGGATAGTAAAAATATGCAATGTTTTATTAAAACTTCTATTTCTTGTCAATAATTAAATAAAAAAAAAAAATGATATTACACATTTTTAATGTTCAATTTAATTATTGCAAATTTATTAACCAATTTTTATATTATATAAATATTTAAAAAACCAAACAATTGTTTTTTAATTTTAAAAATATATGAAATATTTTATATATTGGATTTTAATTTAAGATTTAAATAACACTCATAATTTGGCACATAACTAATTTTTAACTCATTTTTCTTATATAATACTGTGATACTACATTCATTTTAGTTTTTTTTTTTTTTTTTTTTACCATATTTGCTCTTGATACTGATCATTTAGATTGTTAAATGGTGGAATAAATTTTTATGACTGAACAATAAATTAATTAATTATGTAGTTCAAATTTATTTTTATTTTATAATTTTATATAAGTAAAATCATTTAGCATAAAAATAAATATTTTATTCCCTTAGGTATTGCATTAAATAATGTATAGGTATAAATAAGAATATTAAAAAAAAGTTTATATTAAAGATGTGTGCAACAACTTTTGTAGACGGATAGTTGAGGAAGTGGAATACATTAAGTTATTTAATTTATTTAAGTTAAGTTAGAAAGTTACTTAAAAAGTAAATTACTTTACCTAGATAGTTTTTACTCATAATAACTTTGAAACTTATTTAGTTGAATTGAATGTGGAAAATATTCTAACTCATTAAAAACAAAAAGAAACTAGTTATTTTTGATTTTTTTTTTCCATTTCAAAAATCCAAATGTTTTGTAAAACATTGAGTATTTTCAATTTTATGATAAAAACATTTTTCTTGTCATATTATTCAGTACCAAATTATAGTTGGCCTTAGATCATATATTGATATGTATATGATCTAAGTAGTCAGCTATATTCTAGTGGTGTTTATATGTCTATAGCACTGAGATAGATAAGAATATACTCTATATTATTTTCTAATTTGTAATTGGTAATACACGATAACCACCAGGACACATTATAGACATATAGCCTATAGACTATTAAAATATTATGTTCAAGGCCTCTTTTTAAAATTAAACTATATATTATATCCAATATATGCAATATAGGTAATATTATGCTTTATTATATTATTATCATAATACATTCATATTTCATCCTATCATATTTATATTATTATAATTATGTCAATATAGACAATTATAGTGTTACACTAATTTTATTTATTATTTTGTTAAACTTTCTATGTTTTAATAACTGATATTCCTATTCATTTCCAAGAAATTAAAGTTATTACCTACCTACTTGAAACATTTGATCAGTTCAATTTAATGTTTCAATCATCATCAATTTAAATTAATACATACTTAATAATTAATTTACATAATACTTTACATTTGAACTGGTTTTTAAATTTATATTTTAAACTAAAAATAAAAAAACAAACTTCTAACTTCTATTATAGGTCATATAAATGATCTGATTCATTTCAATCAGGTAAACAAGATGATCTGGTTCAAAGACCTGTATAATGTAACATATTTTAGATTCTTGTATTATTATAAAAAAAAATTTTAAAATAGTGAAGTATCATATAAAAAATTGATCACTATAATTTTATATTTTATACAATTTTTATTTTTAGATCCTCAAATTTAACTGCACAGTTCAGATATTACTTAAGTTTATTTCTAGAGGAGATTATGAAGAACTTCAGAGAATGATTATTAATTTTTTTTTCTTAATGATACCAGAACTGAATAATAAACAAAAAAATCAACTGATAGAATTGTGTTTTATCGAGGTATAGAAATAAAATATATTAATTAGTAATAAATTATTATCATTAGTGGTTTTTTCTTAGAGTAGTTAATTGACCTACTCTAAAAAATGTAATACTTAATTAATCCATTTTTATTAGAATAAAATTAAATCAATATTTATTCTGACATAAAATATATGTATTGAAACCCATTTTTGTTTTAAATGTAATTTCATTATTTAGATTTAAAAATAAATCTAAAAGTATGTAACTGATTATGTATTCATTATTTAATCATGAAGTGCATAATTTGTTATTTTTGGATTTCTTCTTTCCTATTATATTTCTGTATTTTATCTTTTTATCTTTATTTGTTAATTTTTTTTCAAAACCAATTTATATTAGCGTCAATTTTTTATTTTAAATCAACTTGTTATTTATTCAATTATGATTCTAAATTGAGAATTAAAATTTGTATTTTTATATAGAAAATCATAAATATAATTACGAAAGGGCTTTTTTTAAGAACATGGAATGATACTTATAAAAAAGCCTGGATAATATTGTGGAATGCAACAGATAAAGCATCAGTTTGTAAAAGGTTCCTTGATGAATTTTATATGGATTATTACAAGGAATTCTTCTCGGTAGAAATAATAATAACTAAATGAATGCATATAGTTTACAATTTAGTTTTCTTTTTAGTATTTTACAAATCAATATGATCTGATGGTACATATGTTGGGTGTATTGGGAAACGTTGCTGAAGTTAAAAATCTTCGACCAAGACTAATTCAACGTAAAATTATTAAAGTGTTATCTGATCAATTGTTTTCAACTCAGGAAGGAATTGAAGTAACAAAAATTATTGATTTTTTTTTTCGGTTTACCTAAGCAATAATATTTTTTCTTTGTGTATAGGTTAGTTATAATGCTGCTAGAATTATTGCATATTTAGCTTCAGATGATAATACAGTATGGCGTATAAAAGGTCCCATAAGATGTCAAGTATTAAAAAAAATGACTGAAGCTATGCTAAACTGGAATCTAGATGCCCAACTACAACTTGACTATCGTTCTTTTAAGTCAATATTACAGCTGGCTAAAGTAAGGCATACTGTTGAATGTGTCCATTGGGCAGTCTGGGCTTTAGCAAATTTCACTAAAGTATGCCGTAAGTATAATATTCAATTGTTTAAATGTCTTTTTTTTGTAGTATGCTACCAATTAATTAATGAATCCTGACAAGCATAAATCTCTCTACCCCTCTTTAATCATTTCAGTTTTTCAGTCAACTCTAGGTCTTAATTTTCTTAAGTCTTTGAATATCATCTTCTCACCATAATTTTGGATAACCTAAAAGGTCATTTTCCCTGAAGAATAAATTCAGTTTTTGAACCTGTTAAATAAGTTTGTCTAACTTATACCATGCATGTATTTATAATATTCAACTTAAATCCAAATTGAATTGCTCAAAAAAATAGTTCATAGTTTTGATTATATATTATTGGTTTAAGCTGAAAAATGCTGTTCAATTGTGATAGCTGAAGGAGGTATAAGAATTATGCATGAATTACTTGAAGATGATCAAATTAATGAGAATATGGCAATCAACAGCTTAGCCAAAACTGTCATTAACCAATGTATGATTTTCATGGAAAGCACTGAAGAGGCATCACAGATTGATAAATGAGAATACTAATTTTATTTTTCATTTTATTCTACCAATATTTGTTCTTTATTTGTACACATAATATCTTTCAATAGTATTCTTATTTGTAGTCAATCAAATATTTCTTCTTTGAGATCTGCTTCAGATAAAATAAATAAATAATTAAATTCCATTTAACAATTTCTATACCAATAAAATTTAGTTCCCGTGTAAGTAAATTTGTAATTATGTTACAATATATTTGGTTAATATTAATAATATATGTAATATCGTAGAATTCTATAGAAAAAAGTCAACAAAAGACTAGACGTGTTAGAGAAAAACTAATTACAGATTTTAATTCAGCACATGGAAATCCATTATATTGATACTTAAAGTTAAAACAGCAAAGTAGTCACATTTTATTCTAACAACATATTTTGTTCTTTATTTATACACTTAATATTAATAATTTTGTAAAAATGAAGAAACATAATACATTTGTTTTGGAAATTTAATTTTAATATTATTATTTAATATATTTATATAATTGTTTTAGTGTTTTGAATCATGTAAATTGTGTTTAGTATGTGTTTATTCTTGACATTAGAAAAAAAAAACTAATTTAATGTTTTAAATATTAATATTAATTATTAATGCTTATGTTACTATTGATAATCAAGTATGATAATGATCAATACCTGAAACTCAATGCACTAAAAAGTACTCAAATATGGATATATATATATATATATATATATATGTTAAAATGCTGTATAATATGCAGTAAAGATTTGTAAAATATGCAATTTATTGAATAAAATAAATTTAATGTACATAATATAAAAATTAAAATTACATAAGACAAATAAATAAATACTTAGCACACTTGTGTATTTCTGTTTGTACACTTACTTCAAACTTTAATATTTTTGAGTTCCTACTAAAAAAGTAATATCAAAAAACAATTTGATTAAACGAAAAATTAATTTTTTTTTTTTTTACCTGAATTACACTAAAGTAAGAGAACACCCCTTATGTTTACAAATTTAAATGATCTTCGATTTTCATTTTTGTAAATCGTGAAAAATCACTCCACATCAACTGATATAATTGAAGCAAACTTGTTAAATCTTAAATAGTTTGAATTAAATTCTGCAGGATCACCAAACTCAGAAATTAAAAAAGTAAGGTATAGGGACAATTGCTTATCTTTAGGCACTCTGAAATATTAAAACAAATTACGATCACTATGCTACTAAATAGTGATGTATGTAGTATTACAATAAACAGAAATAATATTATAGTGAATAAATATTGATAACGACCATTATATTTACAAATTACCTTCTAATTACACAATTTATTTATATCTTAGTACAAATATTAATGCCATGGTAAATTTGTATAAAAACTAATTAATACATACTTTAGGGTGGTTTTTATTTGAGTGATACTTAATGGAATTTTTTTTTGATATCCCTTAATTACCTCTAGAATAATCGTAGCAAAAAAGAATTTTAAAAACCCTCAGTGAATCTCAGTTAAACGAATTAAACAATTTTTTTTTTTTAAATTGTAGGAAATTCCTCGATAAAATTAGTGGTTTTATTTTCAAGATGAATATTTCTTTCTTAATTTAATGAGTATGAAGGTATAACAAAAAAAAAAACAGATCCTGAGAACAGGTTTGGCCACTTTTGTAGTAGAATAGTTGGGAAATTTTTTCAAATTATTTAGTTCATATCCAAAGGGAAGTGTTAAAATTGATTATCACTAAAGCTTAAATTAATTACTAAATACAAGGTAGGTACTACCAATTTTTTTTATAATTTTTATCACTTCTCAAATAAATAAATAAATAAGTTTATAAATTAATCTATTTTGCTTATGGTATGATTAGTTTATTAAAAGTCAAAGCCTAAATAATGTATACACAATGGTAAGGGATAGTTATACTACAGTTAAAAATAGACTGGATAATAATTCATTGGCAATAAACATGGGGAGAACAAAATATTTCCACTTTGAAAAAAAAAAAATACCTACATCAATATTTCAAAACAATAAAATTATCATTCATTCATACAGCTGTCTTACAAATAATATCAACCCAAGTATTATATGAAAGTGTAAAATATTAAATTGAGCCACTGCCTTAAAATATCTAGGTATTTTGGTTAATAAAAACCTAAACTAAGATATTTATATAAAAAATACAATTAAAACATTTTTCTTTTTTTTTTATTTATAAACCATCTAAGTATTATTTATTTAAGATATAATTTTGAATTCCAAACTTATAAAACTAACATATTTAGCATTTATTCAATCGTTTTTTTATGAAATTTCAATTTAGGGAGGTACATACCTCTCTCATATCTGCAATCTTGAAGTAGGTAACTCTAGGTTCTCTACTCAGATTAACTAACCTTGAATGTGTATTACACTCTTAAAATAATAAGGTACCTAGTAATTTGTTTTTTGGAGCGGCCTTTTAAATTTGAATTATACCTAATTGGCATTTAAATAGTTTTCATTCTGGACACTGTGATAATTGAATAACAATAATAAATTTATAATGGCTATTAAATTTTCATTAGTTAGAAAATTATTTATTGTATTGCAATTACTCCGAAATTATTTATCTGTAGTGACATAACCTCGTCAATGGTGGCGTAAAATTATTATTTCAATGACGCAATAAAATTTGTCAACACCTAACCACCCAACCTCCTTTTTATATAAACACAAAATATTAAAAAAAAACGCTTACCAGAGATCGGCTTGTAAACTTTCTTGGTTTTTAAACTTTAAACTAAAGAATAAGATGTCTTCTATTATGTATTACACATTGTACCTCAAGTATTTTGTATCTACTCAAGTATAAACATCAACATTTAACACCCACCCATTCTTTTTTTCGTGAAGCAGCTGCACAATTTAATCCCGTTTACGCCATCATTAAACCTCGTTATGGTGACATGGTGATACCCTTAGATCATATATTATTTCTGTTATCATATTAATCGTTTTTAAAAAAGACTGCACTATTTTTTAGTAGATACCTATCTTTACGGTAATTTTGTTACAGACTATAGCTATCACATCATCAGAAGAATGTTTAAACTTTTCTACTTAAATAAAAGGTAAACCTATTTTGTTGGATATAAAATTTAATTTAATGCTGCCCTAGCCCACTAGAACATCATCAACTCTTAGATATCTATATAAATGTAAGCTCCGAATAAACTATAGTGGATATAAATATTTTTGAAAGCTAGCAAATTTGGTATTTGGATTTGGGAAATGTTTAATTTTACCACTCCGTCGATTTTTGTAGGTGGCTGTTTATGTAATGTTAAACAGAGTCTGAACCAATACATTCCTCGCTTCAATCAGAATCTAAAATCTTTTTAAACTTTTATATTATTATTATATTTTTTGGAATATTATATGGTTTTTTTTTATTAGGATCTATTAGAACTCCAAGCTTAAGGATTAAAATATGTAGAATATCTTTTACAAAATGGCTATTTTGAAAATTTGAAAGTGATAAAATAAAGTTATTTTTCGTTTTTCAATAATTAAAGGATAGCAATAAAAATTAATTTTTCTCTACATAATATATGTCTCCCTTGTACAAGACCCAATTGAAAAAAGTAAATGAATATAGACAGAATTATTCACACAGGGATAACACTGTAGGATATTTTGTATACTAATTAGTATATTTTAATATCTATCTTTTATTATTATTTTCATTATAATATATTGTACTATAATATTTATTGAAAATAAAACAAAGCAACATTTTACCTTAACTAGATGATAATCTTATTCTAAATATTTATTTATGTATTTAAATAATGATATTAACCATTTTGTTATACTGTTAAAACATCATAAGTACTGAAAACCATTAGGAGACATGTCCCCCTATTATACCTCACCACAAATAAACACCAATGTCACATGACCAAATATGTTTTCAGTATGTCTATATTATTAATGGTAATAGTCAAATTTATTCAAATTAAAAATGTGTTACATTACATATTAAATGTATTTAACTTATGTTAATTAACATAAATTGTTACATTTTTTTTTTTTTATGTAATGACTAATTTATTATTTTAGTATTTTATATTATATAGCCCAATAAGGCTGAATAACAATTAAACACAAAATATATTTTATAATTAGTTATAATTTTACAAAGATAAAACAGGTTACACACCTACTCTAAAAAAAATAAAATAACTATAATAATAATAAAACATATTTTGACTAGTTTTATTAAGATATAAAATTATAGTCAAATTACTTTATAGATAATAATTGATATTTTGAAATAATTGTCCAATACAATTTAACTCTCAATTCAATAATAAAATGTTCACTTAATTCAATTTCACAACAAACCTTTTCCAAATCAATATAATCTTTAAGTTTTCAAACATCATCCTCAGTTATTAATTTAGATTCTATTTCACTATATGTTTTATTTAAAAAAATTTTAATTTCCTTTTTCTTCTCTCATCTAAATTTTGTTTTTTGCAATTCCTCATTATAGAAAGTTCCCTCAATAGTTTCATTATTTAAGTCTTTAATTTTAGAAATTTTCTAGTTTAACTTGTATAAATTTATTTAGAGATCGTTCAGGGTAGCTATTAAATATTTTTTCGTGAGTTTTTAATGAATACAATCTAACTGCTAAGGTATATCTTGATATATGTCCATTTCGTCCAATCATAAATCCACATTCTTAATTAATTAATTTGATTTCATCTTCGGGATTATGTATTTTAAATTTTAATGAAAAATCTCCAACTATTTTATCTTTCATTGTGTTAATATACTTATTCCTTTTATAATCGAAACCTAAATGATTGTTTAACTTTTCGTCTAATTTAAAAAAAAAAAACATTAGATTTAATATTAATTTTATCCCCCTTTAGGGAAATTATTAAAGGTTTAACAATCTTATTTAATTCATCTATAATATATTTTCCTGTTTTTAGTTCAATTAGGTTACCTTCAGTTTTTAATAAACAATCTGTTTCAATATTTATTAAATTTAAGATAATAGTTAAACCTTAAACACCAATAAATAAGTTCTCTTTAAATATTGGATTTTCTAACCTTATAAAACCATTTTTTATTTTTATTATTTTTGTTTATTATAGATAATTGTTTTTAATTCAATCCAATTCAACCACACACACACACACACACACACACAAACACATCTGATCTATTTATTTATCTTGTTATATGTATGAATTGAGATTTTGGTTGCACATGAGGCTACTATCACGGATAAGCTACTAATTTATAAAGTCGTCCAACATCACAATATGCACAAGCAATATGGTATATAGTGTTCTAAGCTTATGGATATTACATTACGCCAGAGGCTGAATTTTTTTTTTTTTTGAAAATTTCTATGGTTTATATTAGGTTCAAACCTGATACCTATTAAAGTATTTATCACTAGACCAGAAAACTAGAATATTAAAGTATAATGCAATTAGTCTAATTAAGTTGTATAAATTAAATATTTTTTATAGTGATTAATTTTATAAATAATATATATTTATGAATTGAAATTTTTGAAATGCTCTAACACATTCAATAATAATCAGAAAAATGTAAAACAAAAACTAATCTTTATTTTTGGACTTATTTACACTACATACTAAAAATTGAACTTTGAGTATTTTTGGGTTTGAATATCTCAGAGAGAAATTATCCTATCTCAATTCTGTTTTCAAATTTTGTCTGAAGGGATTATTAAGTAATTTTGGATTCTACTGGATTGATTTCACATTTAACACATACCTTCAAAATACAATTTTTGTTAACAAATAGAAATTTATTTAAATTCCAAAAGATAGAAATAAATTTATTTGCATTACAAATTGTAATGGTATATTATAGGTATATTATAATATAATATTTTAATAACACAAATAATATTATTGGATTTTTAGGGTTTGACCTAATTAAAACTATACATTTGTAAAGAGAACTGTTCCAAGCGCAATGTTTATGTGAAAATAGTTTTTTAAATATTATTTAACTTTAAAAATAATAAATAAATATAAATAATTCTCTTGTTTTGATATAAGAATATTAGGTCCATGACCATATGTCCTAAACATCCCAAATCTTAAAAATTTTAAAATACAGATCCAAAATATTTAAATATTATCAAATTAAAATATATGAATGGAAATTAGAATTTAATTTTTTAAATATTATTAAATTAAGGTATGTGAACAAAGAACAAAAAAGAAAACATAGTGAATAGAGATCAGGGAATAATAATGGAACTATAATTTCTGTTAAATATTTTCTGATGTTAGGTACCTAAATTACATTTTAAAAATCTGGCCTAGAACCCATATTTATATACTAGTTGTATCCATAGATATAATAGTTATAATATATCTATAGTGTTATCACCATTGCTTTATCTTGCATTTGTTAAAAATCTTACAGGTATCTCTGGATTACAGTTATTATTGGAAGAAAATGTGGAAATTAAATAATATTTATTTTTTCTCAAAACAGGTACATATTGGTGTACTGACATTTATTTTTGGGACATTGGTACAACAAGTCAAAAACAGATGACAGTCCAGTGACTCTATTTACAAATCACAATGCCTAGTTTACTAACTTCTAGAGGTCAAACATTTATTAATATTATGATCTGAAATCTTTATAATAATCAAGTATCAAAACATAGACATATCTCAATACTCATATATATTATTAATAAATATTATTGCCTAAAGCTCATAGAGGTTAGTATTATCTAAATGTAAGTGTTAGGATTGAACATTTCTACTAAAGTTAATTGAACCATTATTTGGTTTCAATCAGAACTACCCATGACATAGAGTTAACTGGTTAATCCTACATCTATATTAATACAAACTAATAACATTTTATACCAAAAATTAGTTCTCAAAATAGCAATAATAGTTACTAGCCTACTCCTGAAAAATATTCATATCAACCACAAAGGTCCAAACTCTAATTTTAGGGCTATACGCTTTGACAATATTTAATTATGAACCTCTAAATCAGTTTTTCCAAACGGGAATTCTACCCTAGGGGGAAATTTGGGTATTATCACGTTTCAAGTCAAAATTACCATTGAGAAAATCAAAAATAATTATACATAAAGCTCTAGTCAAGCTAATGACTCTGTATGCCTGTAGTACTTGATCTGTGACAAAAATCAGATAAAAGAAATTTAGAAGTGTTTAAGAGGTAGACATTGAGAAAAATTGTCAGTCCATAGAGAGACAACAAAGAAATGTACAAAATCGAAAAAAAAAAATTTAGAAGAACTATACAATGAATCTACCATTGTTGGAACCTTAAAAAGCATAAGCATTAGTTGGGCTAAGCAATGAGCATGTATGAAGATCAGAAGGATATATAGATCTATATAGATATATATATATCTAATAAGACAAGTCACAATATGGAAACTTAACACAAAGAGACGGAGAAAGCAACCTAGTCAAAAATGAGCAGACAAAATAAATGATGACCTAAGGATATTTGGAGTGAGAAATGCAGAAGCTGCAAATGACAAGGAAGAATGGAGGCTGTTACTGGATGGAACTGAAAGAGCCAAAGATGAAGAAAAATAATACAATATTATTCAAATAAGAAAAATAATATAAGATTTGGCCAGTAAAATATTTATTAAGGTCATATTTTCTATTGTACATAATTTATTAAGAGAATAAGAAAAAAAAGAAAAAACTAATCTAAAACTTTTAAAGCTTTTGATATTATTATTATGACATAAACAAAAATTAGCTTGAATAATTGAAAAAAAAACTTAAATCCACACATATAATATTGAGATTTGATATTAGTTTTGATTAATACTTTTGGTGTATCAGTTTTTGGATCTGGTTATATAATATTCTCATAGTATCATAATTGTAATAGTCAAAATATAAGTCTATTTCAGAAACACCAGGCCACGTTTATAATTGTGTTAAAAATATTATTATTGAAAAAATAAAAATGAATATAGTTATTCATATAAACTAAAATGAAAAAGAAATATATTTATCAAGTTAGTGAATTTAAATTTGAATTGTGGCCCATTATTACAAAATATACTCTATGACAAATTTCATTATATTTTAAGAAATATAATTGTAGCACCAAATCAACTGTTAAATTAAATTAAATAATATAAATAGTACATAACAGAATACATTAAAACTATAATTTTATAGTGATGATCACTTAGAACCACAAATCTCCATAATCACATCCAATGTTCTTGGTGTTGGTTTGAGAATTTTCTTTAATCAATTCTTGATGTGAATTGCTGATCTGTAAATCACCTTGGATATCTGCAGGATTTTGATAACTTGATCCCATAAGGTCCAAGTTAACAGTATGACTATTAGTAGTGGGTAAAAAATCTGAAGGGTCATAGTTTGGATCAAAATCTATAATAATAAAAATAGATAATATAAATACTAGGCTAATAAAAAGACACAAATTATATAGTTTTTTTTTTTTTTTTTTTTGGCCTATTCTGGGCGTTGTAGATTCATTGCCACTAAACCTCTCCATATCTCTCTGTCTTTAGCCAGTTGTTCTCCATCTTTTATTTCCAGAAGCCTGAAGTCTTCCCTAATTCAATCAATCCACTGCTTTCTCAGTCGTTTCCTGTCTGGTTTTCATATTGTGATATCATGCACTGTTTACTCTCCACTCTCCATACTATAGCTTATCCCTCTGCTTTTAAGAGTTCTCACTGTGTTTGGCTCATTGAATAATACTGTCAGCTCTGCATTTGTTCTTTGTTCATATACATTAAGTGTAAAAAGTATTCGTACACCATACTTTTTTAAATAAATATACATTTTTCTTCATGATATTCTATTTTTATGGATAAATTAATACATGCATATTATTCATTGACGATTTTTAATTATATTAAAAAAAAAAACCATGACAAATGTTATATTAATAATAATATTCAATAACAAACAAAACAATACATATAAAATAGGAACAATAAATATTCGTACACTTCTATTTTGGTTACGGAATCACCTGTTTACTCAAAATAATGTTATTAGAAAACGATAAGATATACAAAATGTCACATTAAAAGTTTGTCCCCGACCACGTTACAAGATTATACCAATTCAGTTAGCTTCGAAATATTATTGGAATATCATCTATCACAAAATGAGTCGAAAAAAATGCGAGCAGAGCTCATAGCACTGTGAAAGACATGATAAATCGATACAGTGAGCGAAAAAGTCACGAAAATAAGCAACGATCTGGTCGTCCAAAAAAACTTTCTGACCATGATAAACGTATAGTTTAACGAAAAGTCAAATTGAATTGAAATAAACGCTCCTAAAATAGCATAAGGTCTTGCGAATTTTTCTGGAGTACGTGTTTGTATAAGTACAATTAGAAATTGTTCAAAAAATAGTGATTACCATGAACGAGTAGCTCGTCGAAAATATTTTGTAAATAAAAAAAATAGACAAAAGAGATTTGCTTTTGCAAGAGATAACTTACATCAATCTGATAACTTTTGGAACAAAGTTATTTACAGACGAAAGTAAATTTAATATTTTTGGCTTTGATGAAGACGTTGTGTTTGGAGAAAAGCGAATACAAAAATGGAACCAAAGAATTTACAGCCTACAGTGAAATACGGAGGAGGTTCTGTAATGGTTTGGGGATGTATGAGTGCTCAGGGTGTTGGAAACTTGCACTTTATCGATGGAATTATGAACCAATATATTTATTTAAATATTTTGAAGACAAATCTTGCAGCTAGTGCCGAAAAAAAGGGCATCAAAGATGATTTCATATTTACACAGGACAATGATCTCAAGCATACTGCAAAAAAAGTTAAGGCTTGGTTGTCGAACAATGTAACTGAATATTTTGTGACGCCACCACAGTCTCCAGACATTAATCCTATTGAGAATTTGTGGGATTATTTGGACAAAAAAATTCGAGATCACAATATTTCAAGTAAGGAAACTCTAAAAAAAGCTCTAGAAGAGGAATGGAATAAAATCACAGCAGAAACAACACGTCATCTGGTTGATTCAATGTCTAAGAGGTTGGAGGCTATAATAAGGTCCAAAGGCTACCCTAAAAAATACTAAATAGGGCTATACAATAATTTAAAGCCATTTTTTTGATACAACTTTTATTATTATTATTATTTTTTACTATTATATATTTATAGTTTTGTTTGTTATTGAATATTATTATTAATATAACTGTTGTCATGGTTTTTTTTTAAAAAAATTTAATTAAAAATCGTAAAAGAATAATATGCATGTATTAATTCATCGAGAAAAATAAAATATCATGAAGAAAAATGAATATTTATTTAAAAATGTAGAGTGTATGAATACATTTTACATTCGCTGTATGTTCTCTTCTTCTTTTGGGCCCATACATTCTACATAGGATTTTCCTTTTGAAAATTAACAGTCTTTTTTTATCAGACTTTATTGACCTCCATGCCCCACAATCATACAGAAATATAGGTCTAATAATAACAAACTATAGTGTTTCCTTTTTCGTGAATCAGGCACAAAATCTTGCTGGTATTCTATATTATGGTTTTTTTTCTCATTTCCATATAATATCTACTAGTAATTTTAGCTATGCCATTAGATCTTTTCTTCCTTTTTTCCAGGAGATCTGCAATAATTAAATCTTCCTCTGGCGCCTTCTCATTTTTCAACATATTTACTGCCCAGCCAACTTCTTCTATTGTGGGTTTGTCTGACCTCTGTTCAACCGTGCTGAGGTTTTCTTCCTTAAATGATTGGTTCTACACTTTCTAAAACATCTCCTTAAACTAGTTTGCGACCTTTTTCTTATCCCTTATTTGTGATCAGTCTCCACCCTTTATGATTGTCGATTTTGCTTTGAACCCAGTCTTAATCTCATTAGCTTTTTCAAAAAAAAGTTTTATGTTATTTTTGTAACTATTCTCAATTACTTAAAATCTAAAGTTTTCTCATGATTTTTTATCACTTTAAAAAGTATGCTCTTGAGTAATCATTTATTGACCTCACTTGAGTTTTTTTACATTTTTGTCTTGCTAAATCTCTTTCAATAATTTCATTGGTCATATTTTTCCTTATTCTTCTTTCTTCTAAACACAAGACTTCTGTGGCTACTGTTTTGACTGAGTTTTCAATATCGTTTCACAGGTCATCTATGTGGTTTCTTTTAATTTATTCTCTTATTATCTTTTGTTTTCCTGATTTTTCAGACCCTCAGTATTAAATATTTTAATAAAGACTGCATTTTCTTGCCATTTCACTGATAAATGTAGTTTGATTTTTGCTCTTACAATAAAATGGTCTGGCAATGCACTACTACCTCTCATGCTCTGAACATCCATGATACTTCTCTTGTTCCATCTCCATCTGTCAACTATAACATGGTCTATTTGGTTCTTTATCTGTCCAGATGGTGACGACCAGATTTGTTTGTGAATATCTTTATGCGAAAAATGTGATGCTACTTACTACCATATTTATAGTAATAGCAAAATTGACTAATCTTGTAATTAACTAATTATTAAATGTATAACCTCTTGACCTTTTAAAGTTTATTAAAAAGTGGTTTTTTGGCCTAGTTAAGACTAAAGAGTAAAATAAAATTAGTTAGGATTTTTAAAAGTAATACATGTTAAATTATTAACACAAATCTTTTGATCAAACTGACTACTGTGACTTTTCTTTACTTCATGCTAGGTGTAAATATGAATAAAAATATATTTTAAATTCTTTGTCGAACACATTGAAGAATCTCTGACTAAGGCACCCAAAGATTTTTGGAGTTTCATGTGTAAGAACTGTTCTTTTAATTCTACTCCAAAAATTGTGTCATTGAATGGATATGATAGAACTTGTGAGTTAGAAACTGCTTATTTGTTTGCTGACCATTTTTCTTCGGTTTATTTCTCTAGTCAAGTTAGTTTTACCCTTGTCTCTTTAGTGTTACCTTTTTATGGCCTCCTCATAATTGTAATTTTACTCCTACTGCTGTTCTCTATAAACTTATTGACCTTGAAAATGTATATTCTGTTGATCCTCATGGTTTTTCTGGGAAAGGCCTGGGAACTTTTCTATTATATGGCCCTTGTTTGTGAAATCTTTAAATAAAAGTACTTTCTTAATATGTGGAAACTTGGTTCCATTACACCTATCTTAAAATCTGATAATCCCTCTTTGGTTTCTAATTGTAGGACTATTACTATTTTTGGACATACATCAAAGATTTTTAAGTCCTTAGTTTTCTATGCCATTTAGCCTTTAATAAATATGATTTTAGCTAATGAATAACATAGTTTTTAACTAGCGTGGTCTATAAATACCTGTAACCTTATTTTTTGTAGCTACATATTTAATGTTTTTAAGGAAGGTCACAAGTTGTTATCATATATATACGGACTTTGCCTAAGCTTTTGATTCTGTGAATCACCAGGCTCTGATTTCTGTTTTGAATGCTTCCAAAATACCTTTACTATCATGGTTAAGTTCTTTTTATAGAATAGGTGGAATAATAAGTATGATCTTTACTTGTTATACTGAGAGCATATGTCCCCTTTGCTCTTCTCTTAGTCATAGTCATCTCAATTGTTTTACAAATGATATAAAAATATTTTTCATGGTTAATTCGGTCAATGATTGCCTTTTGCTTCAGGAGGACCTTAATAATTTTGTTACGGGGATAAGCTTGATTTGTCACTTAATACTAGAAAATGCTCCATTTCTAATTTCAAGTTTTCAAGTTTTCCACATACTCCTAGTGATCTGACATTCCACGTCGCTCTTCTCCTCTTCCACTTCTCTTTTGACGACCTTGTATTAGCAGTCCCCACCCGGAGATCTGAACGGGGGACTATTTTACCTCCGGAATTCTTTACCTCTACAATCATCATCATTTCATCATTATCCTCAGGAAAATTAATGCAGTAGTTTCCTCTTGCTTTCTGCATTGCAGTTGGTGAGCCATTACTTGAACTATCTCCAAGCTGCCTCCACCCTGCCCTTCCATTGCCATTAGTTTTGCTATAAAAGGCGAATACACACATACGAAGAGGAAGTTCAAAAAGAAGTAAGACAAGGGTGTAATTTATCACCTGCTTTATTTAACTTATACATTGAGGAAGCAATTTTATATTCTTTTTTACTCGGCTAATTATCTCCAAAATGAGACCATCACCTGCATGATGAAGTTTGCCAATGAGAACCATTTGGTTCATTCTTATTAATTACTGAATCTTATTGGAATTATTAAATTTTACGTGCACATTTTTTTTTTATACACTATTTTATTGTAAAAGCTAATTGGTATCAATTAATAATAATAGTTAAAAGTGAACTATGGTACTATAGTAAATAAGTAGATAGAATTAAAAGTAATGCAGTCAATTAGTACAGTATTTTTTACCTTGTATTTGATTTGGGAAAGTTGCAAGGTCAAGATCATATTCCATGTTACCGAGCAATGCTATAGTTCCTGTCTCTCGTTGGTTGTAATCATCAGGTTTATTTATTCCAACAACTTCCATAAAATCATCATCTTCTTCACTTGAACAATTTAAATCTACAGTTATAAAATTCCGTTATAGCTAAATCACAAAATTATACCTTATGATCATACTTAGCACCTTCTTCTAAAACATTATGAATCCCTGTTTTTAAACTACTACTGCCTGGGTTCATTTGTTGTTCTATGTCTTCAATGTTCACTTTATATTTACTTGGCAAATTTAAGTTCTGTAATGTAAAACAAAACAAATTATTATTTATACTTTTTAAACTAATCAGTTTTCAAAAATTAACATAACTAATGTTTTGTTATCAAACACCAACTTACTTCTTCAACATCTTGCATATCATTTTCAGTCACACAATCAATTTCAACCTGTTCTAGAGCACGGGTCTGTACCATAGAGATATTTTCCTCAACTTGTGTCAAGTATTGATTAAACTAAAATTTTTAAAATTGATAAAATGATTAAATTCATTCCATTGTTTTGTTTTAATTGGTGTAAATCATTTATTACCTCCTCCAATATTTTTGTAGCTTCATTTACTACATTTCTTGCTTGTTCTGTAAATTTTGAATCTTTACCATTATAAGCAATACAGTTTTCCAAAATCAAATTTATATCAGCTAAAAATTCTTTACGATGATGATACTTATGACCTAAAAAAAATATAAACACACCATTATATAGTTTATATTCATTTTTTTATTATTATTATTGTTGTATTATTATTTTTTTTTTAACAACCTATATAAAGTGTTTAGTCATTCAAAAATTATTAAAACATTTCTACATTTTTATTACTATTTATAATTTATATCATTTCCATATATTCATTTATGATTTAGATTGACGCTTTACTCCAAGTTCATAGCTAAAAATGTATTTTAATAGATTTTTAAATTTAATGTGAGTGGTAGAAATAGTTTGCACAATTTTACTAAAATAACAACTTATTTTAAAATATTTTTCACAAATTGTTGTGTATATATTATACACATACATTTTCCTTCCACTTACTCAGAATTTGAAATTTCTGTAATATATTGTTACTTTTCAGGTGTGATTACAGAACTGATAATATTATTGTACACTAAGTAATGAGTATTTATAGTAACACCATTCCTTTAATTTTAAATTCTGAGTGGAGCGAGGAATGTATTGGTTTTACAATGATATTTACTTATTTTTTATGAGAACACTTTTTTTACTATAAATCATACTTCAATTATCAAGTATAGCACATTTTCTGAAAGGAAATGTTTTCTCAGGGGTACTTTGGAGATTTCCGTTATTTAAATTTTCATTAATTTGTGAGTTAATGAGGAAAATCTTGGTCTTTAGTTCAAGAAAGATTGAAAGATTAAAAACAAAATTGTCATTAGCAACTGTTTTTATTAATTTTTTTTTTACTATCAAGTTTTTATTATTTTAATCTTTTTTAAACAATCATTGTTGTCATGGAATTGTTGTAACATTGTTGTTATCATTTTACCATAATATGACATATACATACAGTGTTGATAAAACAACACTATCAACTGAACATCACTCAGAATAATCTTTTGTTAGAAATGGTTTATCATTATTTACAGATATAATTTAAACTCTGGTTTGTGTCCTACCTACAAAAGTGGCTGCACCCATGTGTGAAGTATATTGCTCCTTTTTTTTTTATTTATACACTGGAATGAGAAATCACTAATTTCTAATAATTAATATTTTTTAAAATTTAAAATAAATTATCAACTTAGTATATTATTTTAGCTTTATAACATTACAGGGCCAAAAACAGAGTTATAATATTATTGGAAATCTTAGAAGGTACTCACTAGAAACACGCATGGCAATGGTCTCTAAATCAATTGGTTGTTTAATGACACTGTAATAATCTTTCACTGATTTATGACATACAGGCTTCATGAATGGCCAAGCTTCTGTCATGGTCTTCAACTTTCCAAGTGCATTATCTAATATAAATGTTAAACCCACTTGGTCATTATCATCCAACAGTGGATTAATTTTTTTTTCCAGCAACATAAGTTGTTCTTCTTTGTCATGTAGTCGATCGACACAGACACCCAACATATGACGTGCAGCAAGGGTCAATGAGCTCTTAGCACCTGTAATTTGAAGTTTTTCATTAAAAATTTAAGTAAGAGAAGACCTTAACAGTGTATTTTATTTACCATTGTACAATGTAGAATTTTCAACAATTTGATTGACATCTGAAAGAAATTCTTCACGGTTTTGATATTTATTTTTCTGAAGTCCATCTTTAATTGTTTGCAAATCCATTGGCGTCTGTACAATATTGTAATAATCTGGTACTTTCTATAAAAGAGCATTAATAAAGAAACCAACATAATTTCATTGTTATACAAAAACAATTATAATAAAAGATGAAGGTTTACTTTGATATTGACTGGACAAATAAATGGAAGAACATCTGGCAAATTCCGCATTTCATTCAATATAGATTCGAAAATACTGGATAATACAACTATTGGATTAGTTGGACGTCTTTTGGCAGATCGATCAGGTTTCTTTAAATAATCACAATGAAGTTCATTAGTACGTTTTTTACGTAACAATGCATCTTTAGGTACTTTCAAAACCAGAGATCTCCTTTTTACTTCTTCTACATGCTATAAACCAAAAAAAAAATTATTATTAAACAGTGCATAACAGTAAACAATAAATAACATTGTAATAAATACAAAAATAGAATAAAATAATAAAAAACAAACCTTCAAAAGTTTGGTAGATAATGTAACCTTTGTGCCATCAACATTAATCAAATTTTCGTCTTCTACATTAATCTCTTTTTCGATTTCTTTTTCTTGCTCTTCAGTAAGAGCAACATTGACTGGTAAGGATGGATTCAAATTATACTGAGAACAAGCTTTATTTGTTCTCATGTGACCAACATTACCACATGCACCACATCTCACTTTTAAATCTGGTTTAAGTTTACTAGGCTTTGGTTTACGTAGTCGTGGAGGAGTAGCTTCAATATGTTTTGGTTTTTGTATTATCACCATGCCAGAAGTAGGCAGTGGTACATCATTAATTTGATTAAACATAGATAAACCAAGTGCTAAAATACCAACAGAAAACACAATAAATAACAACATTTGGTTACATTGAATAACGTTATAAATATACCAGGCTGTGGCAAAGATTTTTTGATAAATGTTTCACGTTCTTGATTTCGTTTAATACGTCTCAATTGTTCTTGTATTCTTCTTTTTTCACGTTTCATCTCTTCCTTCTGTGACTCATCTAGAAGTGTATACTCTTTAATGAATCTTTCATCTTTAGTTGTTCTAATTTTCACATAAGCTTCCATCACACCTGGTTTACGCACAACTTCAGTTCTAGTGTATTCTTTACCATCTACTCCTTTGAATGTTCTATAAATCTTAAGTACCCGACCACCTGAAAAACAGTTCAATTTTTATTTTTTATACCTTATGTACAATTATTTTAGATTTGTCATACTTAGTTGTCCAGTAGATAAAGTCTGTGGTTTGCCATCATTATTTTTTTTACTTTTATTTTGAGTGTTATCAATTAAGTCATCCATGATCATTTTCCGAAGCTCTTGGCGTTCTTGTTCTTCTTTTTCTATAGATAACTAAATCAATTAACGTTAAATTTAAAAAGGTTACAAAAATAATTAACTAAAGATACTTAAAAATTGAATTAATGATAACTTTAGTTAACATTTATCACAATTTTGTTTTTATCTTCATTACTGTCATAATTGTTGAAATATATATTAAAAGTGCGACTTTTAAAAGGAGAAAAATATATATAATTTCTATTTTAAAATGGTTAAGTTAAAATTTAATTTTTTTTTTTACAAAATATTTCATTATACATAATATTAAATAATACCAAAATAGTCTTAGCAACATAATAAATAATATACCTGAGAACTTGTTATTTTATTTGACAACATATTTTCAATGTTTTTCCCCATTTCTTCAATGTCTGAACCATCTTCTTCATCAAAACTTTCTCCTTCATCAGTTGACAAAATCTCATTAGATGAAAGTACTTTATTTTGTAGATCAAATATTCTTTGACACTCTTCCTTGTATCTTAAATTAAATATATTTATATTATTTTGTTTAAAACTATGTTTGTTTTTATATAGGAGTATTAATTACCTTTCTTGATGCTCAGCAATAGAAAAACGGTTACCTCTTGAAAATTTTGTCATTCCTTGTTCACCTGCTTTAGCTTTTTCAGTAGATAATGTACGCACAACATCAATAACTTCCCAACGTGACAATTTTTTAATATCTTCTTCTGGAACTAAAAATTTTCTCAACAAAGCTTTTGCATTATTTAGAGATAATCGTCTTAAATCAGCGTCTGTCCCTGTCACTGTTCGCTTTGGTTGTACTTCTTGTTCATCTTTGTTAGACTAAAATAGCACAAGTTCAAAATTCTCAACTTAAATTGGCTTATGTTTAATACTTAATATGTAAAACAATTGTAAAAAACATACAAATGATGGTTTGTTAGGCATCCGTACATATGAAAATCCTTCTCCACATCCAGTAGGGTCTGCAGGACCAGTGAGTTGAAGTATACACTTGTTTTTCATAGCTTGAATGTAGGCTCGTGTTGTATTCCATGGAGCAACTTTAATTTCATCATCCATTTTTAATTGTATTTCTTCATCATCCTCTTCTAAACTAGTAAAAATAAATTTATCGCCATAGCCTGCATCCTATAACAATATAAATTTTAGAAAAAAAAAATGTATTCAACAAATAATTTACTTTAAGTCTTTGTTCAGCAGCTATCATACTGAAATATGCACAACACTGTTCTGGTGATACCATGGCACGAATTTCTTCTTCTGATGGTAAACGAAATTCAGGTCTAATAACCCACCAATTTGAATCAGACCCTAAAATTTAAATATAAAACACCCAAGTATTAGTAACAATATGTTAGCTAAGTTAACAATTGTTTACCAGTTCTTTTAAAATCTGCACAAAGCTTAAGACGTTTTCGGATGCTACTTTCTGAATGTAATGGAAATGCTTTTTTAATATCCTCCATTTTTATACGTCTTGGGGTATCATAATTATTCCAAAATAATCGATAAATAAATACCTACATGGAAAATGATATTATTAATAATGACTAGTGTTAAAAATATAAATACAAATAATAAATACCTGTAAAAAATCTCTAATAAAATTGTTGGCACGTTTAGAATTTGGGCTAGGAACTTCATATAAAGGACAAAGTTGTGCAGATGTAAATAGACCATCTATTTCTCGTATATAATATCCATGCCTAAAAGTATATTAATTATTAACATTTAATAATATAATCAATAATTTGAATTAATTATAAATGAAATTGATAATTTAAAATCTATAAAGTACATGTTAGTTACCTTGTTCTTATAAGTAAGAAATCAGTGTCCATAGGTTTATGTTCATATATCAGTGCTCGGTATAAATTATTTTCAATAGCTTGAATCATCTTACCAGGTGATAATACACCCAAAAAAGGTGAAGTATGAGCATATGCTGTTTCTCCAAATTGTAAAGTTGGTGGGCCAGCATCTTTACCAATATTCCGTTTATAATAGTTTTTAATTTTAGAACACATTCCAACCTATAATAAACATTATTCAAACATTACAGATAAAATTGGGTAATATCAATTAATTTATTTTTATGTACTTGATTCAATAAAGGAGGATGTTCTTCGCAATATTCAATAAGAATAATAGAACCATCTCTACCAGTTAAATCATCTGGCGTTCTCATGAAAAAAACGTCTCCTCCACCAGAAGCAATACATTCTTGTTCTCTAAGCTAAATTAATGAAAATTCAATGTTTGTGTTTATACAATAAAACTTTCTGATAAAATATTTCAATAAAATTTGTACAAGATTTTTATGTTTATAAAGAGCATATTATTATTGATGATTTATTCATAATTTAATTACCTTTGTTATATTTTGTATGTTTTTCAATAAAGGTTGCACATAGTGAAATATTGGCTGAGCAATAGTACCATGAGAGTATCTCTTCATCAGAGGACGATGGAAATTTCTCAAACGCATTGGTCCCATATGAGTTTGAATGAATGGTGCCTTCAACTCCACAATAGGTGTTGAATGCTGAATGATATTACCACTACCAAATTTAAGGCGTAATGATGTTTCAGATGATCTTGTTTGGTAGTAGCTAAAATCAAATTGGAAAATGTATGTTATATTCAATTTATTATCAATCAAAGAGTTCTAGATTTCAATCAGTTTAAAAATAACTGTAGTTTAAACTAAAACATAAAAACATTAAGTAATTAACATATACCAGTCATTAGATACATTAAATGGATCTATTTGGTCTGGAGCTTTAGGTGGAGGCAATTGATTATCTTCTTCAAGTACATTAATAACTCCAGCTTTTCCCAGTAATAATTTTGATTTCATAACATGAGGATGAGGAATTTTCACTTTTGCTGGAGTAGTATTTTTACGTCTTTCTTTTACAGGATCTACATCATCAGGAATGCCCAATATAATATTATCATCGTTGGGATCTAAAGTTAATATTTTTGGACAAGGTATCTTTTCCATATTAATAGGATCCAAAACTATATCATCTTCCCAAGTACTATATACTAATTCTTCATTTTCCACTGGAAATATGGAATACCAAGTATCATCTGTAGTATCATTTATTGGCTGTTGTTTAGCATACCTAAGTATCCATTTTAAACAAATATTACCCAATTATTAACTAAAATGTTATAATATAAATTGAATCAATACTAATTTTTAACAACTCAATTAATGAATAATTAACTTTGTATGACTTCCTGGCTAAAATTTACTTTACATGCTCCTCGTGGATTCCAATTTTTTTTAAAAAGATATGTTTTTCAACATTGATATTGAACCTATTTTAATTTTAAATAATCCATATTTTCAAACAATTTTTTTTTAAGATGTCCTTTTTGGCTTTGAGTATGATGATGCAAATAAGTTTTTTATTTATATACATTTTACAAGTATTGGTTATTTAAAAATGTTATTTCTTTGATTCTACAAGTCTAACATATAATCTCGAGGTTTTAATTTCCCACCCTGTTACTTACCAACATGGTTTTGAACAATAAGGTTTCTTTCATTTTCATATTTGTTAGCACTATTAAAGGCAGAATATTATCCATTTTATACAATACTAATATTTTCTGGCAAAGGTAATTCTTAAAATAACTATACTCTAACATTATTTATTAATATATTATTTGTATTTACTATTTTATTTATATATATACAGAATAGAGATACAGTAAACAATAATTGAAAATTTGATATTTTTTTTTCAAAACTTCTTTAATATTTTCCAGAACAAAATTAAAACAGTTTCAAAATCAGCTTTGAAAAATACACTTTTTAGAAAAAAAAAATTGAAAATTCTAATTTAAAATTCTTTAGGGGTGTGGTAAAATGTATTTGTTCTGATGTCCTTATTTATAAACAAATTTAGGTAAAGTAAGAACCTATTTTAATCAGTTAAATTTAAAATCTTTAAAGTTTTCAGAGTATTTAAGAGGAAATAAAATCAAAAGTTAAAAATTATTTTATCTTTCATTAAAAGCCATTAATGTAATTTAACTAGTTCAAAAAAAAAAAAAAATGTGACAAAGAACTTACATATTTGATTTAGTAGCTATTTTTTGTGATTGTGTTACTTTAATGCTGGATGTAGCTAATTGTACCGAACCCCCTGCAAGAGGAAGCATACCTTTTCCTGGCTGACTACAAGAACCATGAGCTGTACGATTTGTACTACTTGGAACCCAACCAGCAACATTAGTCTTACAATTCAACTTTTGAAAAGCTTTTTGTTTAATATCTTCTTGGCTCCATAATATATCCGTTTCCCAATGCATCTGGCTAACCATTAGAAATGCATCATCGGAAAATGGATTTTTTGCTTCATCTTTATTCTAAAGTTAAGCACAGTTTTCAAAAGTTAAGCTTTATTATACTAATATATACATATATATATATAATTTACTAACATTATTTTCTTTAAGTTTAAAACCGAAATTAAATTCTTTTCCATTTTCAGAAACTCCCAGCATGTCATACCACAGCTTCGCAGGTCCATTTCTCCAAAAGGATTGATTGTTTAAACTGTCTTCATATCCTCTTTTATCTTGAATAGTTTGTTCAGATACATTTTCAATAGGTTGCAAAAATTTAATCTGTAAAACTCTTATGTAAATAAAAATCTATAACATCAATAATAAAAACTAAAAATAACCTTGTCATCAGAAGCAAAGAATTCAGAACCCTGGGTTGATCCAAATTCAAGGCACATTTGAATTTCACTTTTTGAACCATTATCTGAAGAGTTATTATCTTTTTTTATAGTACTATGTCTCTTTTTTTTTATGCGTTTCACTTTGACATTCTTCCAAACATTAGGTAATCGCTTTAATTTATTCGGCTTAAATAATCGTGAAAATCTCAACACCTAATTTAGAAATAAACCAAAAATATAATATATAATTAAAACATTGTAATTAAAATTACTTTTCCACTTCTAAAATCAGGAAACATTTTATTAACATCCACGTCTTTATACTTCGGTGGTAACAAAGCACTTAATGGAGTATCTTTCGGTTTCAATTTATCAGACGTTTCGTCTTTTTCCGACATTTCGTCATCAGACATTTGAACTTTATTGTTTCAACCTTATAATTTCTTACACTAATTGAACGATGTTAAAAAAATCTTAAAACTATTTGTGGTTTTTTAGTTAACTTCTAAATGATTACAAACTCATCATTGTGACCAGAATTGTGAGCCACTAGACACTGATATAATATGTATGTATGTATGTTTGTTATAAATATAAAATCAATATAAAAATGAGTCATCAAAAATAATTTTCCAGCTGACATTGACCAAGTACCAACAAACAAATCATCCAAAGCTGACAACATACCAAAGCCATTAAACTGTATAGACGTCATCATGACTTAAAGTTAATAGATAGTGTTATCTATAAACTTTAATCATAACTTTAATTATATATGTTTAATGTTATAAATATCTGTAGCTGTGATCATAATGACCGCCATACACAACAATAAAATACGTTGTTTTCATCGTCACAATAAAACCATAAAACAAATTTAAAAACTGTGTTTCGCCGTCGATTTTTGCCCTTATCTACACTTCGGTTTTGAACACGATAAAAAATATATTATCTTTAATCGTGGTTTTGACCAACGTATTTCATCATAGTATGGGTGGCTTTAGTCATCTCATCGTATACATGACTAAATATATATTATATAGGTTATGTCAGCAATAATACTAATTTAAGACTAATATATGCATCCCTATTCCTCACTTTTTCATCGGAAAACCAAATAAAATATGAGTGACGGAGAACACATTACTCGATAAAAATAAGGTAGGCACCTACCTACTTGGTGTCTTCATGTGAATGTGAGTATCTACGTTTATATCACAGATGATAATAGAATATAATGTAATGTGAACATTCGTTTATTTGTTGGCGTTATAACGGTTAGTATTTACATCAATAAAAATTATTCTTGTTCGACTGGTTGTATAAAAACTTTAAAACAATTTAAAATCGTAAATAGCACTAATGGTAAAATTTATTTGCATTTAAGTATGTGTAGGTGTGGTAGGGATCGAATTTTTATCAATTGATAGTTGTCATTTTTTTTTCAAAAAACGTACACACAAGTTGCACTTATAAATATTTGAAGCACAGTAATCTGATATACATGTTCAAGTAAAAATTTTAATCACAAACACCTCTAATTAATTTAAATTTTATGTCATAATAATAAAATTAATCCTTATTCAAAATTCAAATTATTATATAGTCAGTACTCAATACTGTAATATTACAATTAGGTAATCACTTACTGCTGTAACCATAACTACCATAACAACTTGTGGTTACGACTAATATATTATGATTGAAAACATAAACTGGCCAATAAGCAAGAAATTCGTTTGTACAACCCGGTATGAATTTGAGAAAGTTTTGGAATAACCGGTGTTAAAATTAACCGCACCAGTTTAATTTTTCCATCACTATAGTATGATTGAGCATAATATGTTATTATTATGGTAAAAACTACACAGACTTTATCTCCTCTCGCATTTCATAATAAATGAACAGGTAAATAATAATAATAATAACTTAATTGATAACAATTTATGTTCAAACTAATTACTATAATTACTATATTACTTATGTACTAATAAGCGAGAAATGGAAATTATAGATAATAATTTGAATAATTTATTAATATAATTATAAAAAAATATATTACATTATAAATTTTATTATATAAATATTTTAATTATTTAAATATTAATGATATTATCATTGTATTTTGGACAATGGGTGGGGGATACACTGATTTCCATCATCGAATATCCATGATTGGTGTAAAATAATCGGTATCAAGTATTCAAGTGTACAAAATGTATCACCCCAGTTTGGCAGTTTGTACCAACGAATTTCTTGGGGTAACGCCATTTTATACGGTCAACACAAAAAAAATTTATAAAAATAAGCACTTTTCAGTCAGAGGATTAGGTGCACGTCACATGTGCTTTGTAAGGTGTGTACACAACTATTCATTAACTTTATAAAGCGAACAAATGCAATTTTTGTTTTTTATTTGTTTACACGTGTTGGTTTAAAAAGTCATGTTTCGATTTATTTTTATATATTTCATATTAATACTTTCTTGAAAATTAAATGAAGAGAATATTAGAACAATATCATATTAAACAATTCCTCGCTAAATAAATTTGAGTGAGGGAGTTCGTATTTATTAACTATATTTTTTTACTAATGTGAATGAACATTAAACTGCACAGATGAAAAGTTCTCAAAATGTTGGGGAAAATTTATAATGTGGATTTATAATCTCAAATTATATTTAATCCTAACGAGTTGATAGAGATAGAACTATTCAACAAAATTGTAAAACTTGAGTTTGACAAGGGAAATGTCATTCTGAAGAAAAAATAAATAGTGGCAAAGAGTACTTTAAAGGATAACAATGCCGATTTATCGGTCAGATCCGTTGAACTTTGGGATAGCAATTCCTAAACACCTAACTTCCACCTAACTGAGAAAAACCCAAAAATAAGTCATCTAGACTGAAAAAAACTCGAGAGTCAAAAGCAGATTGTAAGTATCTATATATTAAAGTATTTAAAAATAATTATTGACTATATATTAACTAGATATAATTTTATTTTTATTTTAAATATATACAACAATATGATGGCAGACTATAGTAAAATAATGTGTAATGAAGTCAAGATATCCAAAGATTGCATATGTAGGAATCACAACAACAGAAACTGAGTGTTGCAATTAAAAATGTCACATTTATTTGTAGAACTGAGTAAATGTTGTTTTAACCAGGACTCTGAGGTATGTAAATGTAAACTTTCCAAGCATAAAATACTGATTATTGCTAAAAAAAGAATCTAACTCTGAAAATAATTAAAAATAAATTGCTCAAGAAAAAATAATACTGGTCAGAGAAGACAGATGAACTGAGGAAAAATTAAAGGTTGCAGCCACCAACACTGATAGTTGTTGAATTATAATTTGAATAATAACTTCTATATATGTAGGTAATTCACAAATAATCTAATAATCAATTTTTGTTTTAATTGACATATTTTAATAATACTATTTAACATATAAACATAAATATTCATGTTTATTGGATTTCTAATTAAATTAAAAATCATTCTTTTTCTCAAAAAATATAATTTTTTTAATTTAATATTCTATAGGCTTGAATGTATTTCATTAAATAAACATAATTATCAACAGGAGCTGAATATTATCTGTAATATATCCCATAGAAATAATTCCAATTTAATTACTAATTTAAAAAAAATGCAAAAACATATTAAAGAAAAAATAGTACACAACTCACCAAATAATGTTAACTTTAATTGTAGTATGAAATCTCAAAATAATATATCTAACCAATTTGCTAAAATTCTGAATAATACAAATAATGTAAAAATGGCTTTTAAAACTAATAATAATTTAATAAAACATATAAACAATAGAACTAAAAATTTCACAAAAAATCTCCTTATTTTGAAAATGGTGGTATATATTATAAACTTAAATGTTATACTGTAATATATTTTAGAAATGTATATAAATAATACAAATAGAAATTTTAAAATAAGTTTTGAAAAACACATTTTTGAAATAAAATTAAAAAAGACTGCCACTAATTTAAATTTTGCTAAACATGTTTCAGAAAATAACTATAATATAAGTTTTGATATTAATACAGACTTAAAGATATTAATTACCCAAATTAACATTTACATTAATTCAGTTTTAGAAGAAATAAAGAAAAATAATTTTAATAACATTTTAAATGTACAAACTGATTTAAAAAATAATATATCTATATCAATACATTATAGATAATAAATAATAACCAAATAATTTATATTTGTTAACATATCTATGTATAATGTAATAATAATCCATTTTAAATAATCTCTCCTATTAAAATAAATTTTTTTTATGTAAAACAAGCAATTATTTGTATAACTTTATTTTGTTTTATATATTCCTTCATATAATTTTTTATATTCAATTCCGGTTTAAATTTTGACTGTGATATACCTGATGATAACTTTTTAATTTGAAACCGGTTGTATAATAAACTTATCATAATACCCCAGGCAATGCATTCATTCATTTATTTATTTTTATTTTTATATGTACATTTTTTATTTATATATTTATTTACTTTGTTTGTTATTTTATATTTGAATTATTACCCCTCTTATTTTTATGAATTATTAATCATACAAATTTCATTGAAATTAATAATAACAATATATATGTTTACTTTTATCTCTTTTGTGTAAAAAATATAACCATGTCTAGAATGGCAAGTAATGCAACTTAAATAATAATTAAGTCCCATTTTATTTTTACTCATATCTAGAAAAGTCTTAAATAATATTTATCTGATGAAAAATCAAATACCTAAACCACTATCTTGCTGTTTACTTCCAACAGGTATTAGGAAACTTATACTGCATCAAATTTGTTGTGTTTAATTTATTTAGTATAATAAGAAAATAATTGTTTTAAATAATCATGGTCATACATGTAGTGTTTATGCTTAGCACAATATCACATCATAAACAACTTATCATTATGTTTTTCAAAATGAATTACCAGAGTTAATCATTTATTTAGAATTTTTCATGTTTTTCTAAGAGGAAAATTAATAAATTTAACAATGAACATTGAATATTAAAAGAAAATTTGAACTTAAAAGGACTTTATACCTGCATATGTTGTCTCAGTTTCATTTTCTTATGTACTGTGATGTATAATGGGACCTTGATAAGTCTAAATAAATGCTGTTCCCTTGTGAAAACCTTGATTATTCAAAAGAAAAATAATAAACAACTCAAATACTCTGTGTTCTGATTAAAGGAAGATAATCGCAGATAATTTGTATAAATTTTAAAAACTCTAAGTGAATTATTTTTTCCTAAAACCTTGATAACTTGAAAATCTGGATTAGTTGAAAAATTGCATTTCCCATGAATTTTGATTTATTGAGTTACAACTTATTCCACTGTACTTAAATTAAATTAAAAAAGCGCTAGATTGGGCATGCACAGTATTTATTTTTGACTGAAATATGATTTGGTTAAAATACATTTTCTCTAATGCAGTGGTTCCCAAAACAGGGTCATTTATGATTTTATGGCTGGCTACAGAAAAATAAATAAATTGGAATATTTTTCTCTCATTTTTTTTTCTGTGGAATTAAAAGATTAAAGATAAGGTTATAGTTGACAAAGATTTTTATTTTTTTTATTATTAAGTTTTTATTATTTTAATCTTTTTTAAAATATTGCTGAAAATGCACAATGATAAAAAAAGCAATACTATAGACCGAGCTCCGCTCAGAATCATTTTTCATTAGCAATTATTATTAATCATTGCGTTCATAAATAAATTTAGTTTCCTCTATATTGTATCTACCCGTCTTATCACCTGCAACATTGGCCCACACGTGGTGTGAAGTATGTCTGGTTTTTTTTAAAAAATCAGTGAGACATTAAAAAATGATTTATTTTCTTCTACCCTGGTATTCTTCCACAAATATATATTTTAATAAAAATCAATTATTATTTATTTATATATTATACTAGCTGAATTACCCGGCGTTGCCCGGAAACAAATTCGTGACAAATTAGATAACGCCATGTATTACCATTTACCGTCTAAAAAATTCATAATTATCGATAATATACATAATAACCTATCCTTTAAAATTAACAACTTACCCAAATCCTAATTAATTATTAACTAACTTAATTAAAACTGCATGACAATTGGATAAGAAATTTCGAGGGCCAAACCGTAACAAAGATTGCTTGATTTCAGTTTTACGCACGTCCGAACTGCTAGTAGTGCGGAGTGCAAATGAAATGAACGTTTAATATTTTATGTTACGCAAGTCCAAATTAATTCTATAAATAAAATTTGTGTGTGTATTGGTTTATGTTATCGGTGTGCATTTTATCGTTCATTATGATAAAATAGGAGTATTGGTGTACGCGCGATGCATGAGATTATTTTTATCGATAAACTTCTCGGAACAATTTTATTCTCGGAATTATTATTCTTATCTACACGACGACGACGACGAACAAAACGGATAGGTTGCAGATAGCTGGAGACCCGCGGACCGCCGTGCCGCACAATACGTATTGGCGGTGAATAATTATAATTGTTAATTACTCCACTAAAACGCAACATTTTTTAAAATCCTTCCTTATTGCACGGTGAAAATACGAGAAGAACCTATATTCCAAATTTCAAGTTCGTACGTTACGTAGTTTTTGAGATACAGCGATCAGTCAGTCAGTGGTATTTGGATTTTATGTGTATAGATTTATCAAAATAGTATAATGTATTATTATAAGACAAGTACAGGACTATTTTTCCGCTCATCAAAATTATAAATATGCTGGTGACTACTGAAAGAAGGCTTGATTAGTACCTATTTTTCTGACACTCAATATTTATAGATCTAATAATATAATATAGATCTACATTAATTGAGTTTATTCATAAAAAAAAAAATAATAATAAAATATCGCATTTTGGATTAGTACTGTTCTTTCACTCATCGATTCGATTGTATATTATTAAAATAAAATACTTAGCCATTAATTTTTTTATTAATAAATTAAAGTAAATTCTTAAAATATTAAGCAACATTTTGTTGACAACTATTGACAACACGTTGCTGAGTGTTGGCAACAAATTTGTCAAATACAGATACATGTTGTCAACAGTGTGGCGCATCCAAACCAAAATAATAGTTGTGCGTCCACATCCGTCTGTTGGGAAGTTAAAGAATTTTTACAAGTTGTTAAGTTTACAAGTTAAAGTTAAAGGAGGTAAATTAATAGTTAAATGGATCTAACGGTAATCTAAAAAAAAGACATTTAAAAAACAACATAGTAAAAATCAACAAGGTAAAATACGTCAAATGTATTTTACTTAAAAATTACAAATATTAGTGGCTAATTGCAGGCTGCTGACCTCCAATTAAATAACTCCCCTCGTATGGCTATCCAAAGAATATTCCAAAGGTGTGCCCTGGATTTTTTTTCTTTTTGGTAGGGGGTGGGCTAAATATATTATTTTTAAATAGTAATAATATTTATTTTTAAATATGTATAAAAAACCAAAAATACAAGCGTACTTGATTGTCCATGATCCTTTACGCAGTTGCAAAAGTGAAATAAACTTTGCATTAGCTATAGCATATAGTTTATGATATATTTATAAAAATGTATACTATTATTTATATTATTATTGACTTAAAACTAATGTTTGTTATTTTGAAGTAAAATGCATTTGACGTGTTTTACCGTGTCGTTTTTTTCTTAGATTCGGATCTGACAACTGTTGCTGCTGGTACTAATGCTGCGTTCGTCATCATAGCTACTCATGTTAAAAAAAGAAAAAAAAGATGATTACAGAAAAAATGTTTCAAAAATGATATAAGCTATGGCGTCGACTATTATTAGTTGAATACATAATGCGAACATTTAAATAATATAAAATAATAACAACAAAAGTGTACGTGTGTACAGCAGGCAATTGATCATAATATCGTCCACACTGAGCGATGTTTTCCATTCTAAATGGAAAACATAGATAGATAAAGTAATACGCAATATATATCTTTGATGTCATGCTGCCCAAAATCGACGTATATCCATCGACTTGTTACCAATTGACAGGATACATGTTGCCAACAAAATGTTGCTTGGTCTGTATATACCTTTATACACATATACTTGGCTTAAGGATAAGTTAAATATTAAATCGATTTTCGTAACAGTGTTTTATACAAATTACAAAAAAATATATTACTGTTAACATCTTTATTCCAAAACTAGAATTAAAATTATTAAATAATATGAGCAATTAATTTGAATAAAAAAAGTACTTATACTTATTATTAATAATAAAGATATTTCTAGAAATAATAATCATTTTAAATTCTTTGGCAAATAATGGTGGAATTTAAATTGATTACTTACATATGATTAATATTTGATTTTGGAAACTATTACATATTTTCAAGTTATGTAGCATATTATGTGAATGTGAGTTAGTAAAATAATTTAGGAAAACATGACAAAATGGATACAAGTATATGGTCAGTAACTAAGTGATAGGTTCAGTGTTCTATCAATAGAAGCTAGTTCTCTTCTTCTCATTAGTCGAATATGTTCACAGATTTATAGGATAACTATAATATGGATGTGAAGTCTTTTGACAGACAAGAAAGCATATAGATATTATCATATACCTATTTATTTTCTATGTATTTTATTGGCACTGGGTAGTGGCGGATCCAGAGTTAAATTTTGGAGTAGATGTCTTAAAATAAAAAAAAAGTGATACAGATGACGGGTGCAACCATTTTGTATAGTCTATAGTCTAGGGGCAAGGCCCTTGCCTCTTCCCCTGGATCCGCCACTTATGGAAGGGTGGCTTAACTGCGTTTTGTTTATGTTAAATTTATAAGTTCATCCATCTATATGGAAATGTATAACAGCACTACAAAGAGAATAACTTAATGAGTAAATGGATTGAAAATTGAACAATTCGTCATAGAACAAGAACCACCATCAAAAAAGATACCAAAGAATGAGTGAAAAATGTGGTGATTATAATAATAGAAGATTATTTATAAGTGCTTGTGTATAGTTTTCAACTGCAACTTTGACTAAGTAGGTGCTACTTGATGATTTATGTTTTTGTAATATTTGAATAATTATTAATATAATTAATTATTTGTGCCAAAAATTTACATGGATTCCCTATAGCTAGATATTAAAAAAATATCAATACATTTATTATCAATCTACAGATCATAGTTCTTAGAATATGTACCTAGGTATAATTTAAATATTCATTTTATGACATACATATTATATCATTTGCCTAGTAGTAATACATAAAATATGAACAATTTTAGCTCACAAATTATTATTTGTGTAAGTATTCCTACAGATATTCTATATTAGGTATATATTAGAGGTTTAGTTTGATTTTGATTTCTAGTTTTGATCAATTTTTTTATGTATAGGTATTAAAAAAAAGACTATTAAACATTATATCACAATATGTTGATGATAAAATTGGCCGTTTTTTTGTCCAGTCTTGATAATGAAATAAGAATAGAAGTATATTAGTATATAATACTATAAAATAATGTTGTTTTAAAATTATAATTATGAAATAGATGCCCACCTACTGAGAAAAAGAATGAAAGTTATAGGCAGCTGTGTATGTGTCATGACCAGTGCTATAATATATCTAGATACTTATATCTAAGATACAGTAAAAAAAAAAAAAATATAAAAATAAAACATAAAATTCTAAAATCTAATATGTTTAAAATAAAAATATTGTTAATATGTATTATTTTCTGATTTCTTTATTATTATAAATTATTATATATGAGTGTATGAATATTGTGTATTGACAAGTGGATAATACCCATTATTTATTTTATGTTTACCAATAATTAACCAATATTTTAATATTGTTATATATTATGTGTTATAGCTTATAACTTTATAAGAATATTATTAATTATATTTGAAAACTGACATAAAAATGTTGATAAAAATGATTGTATTATAAATTATGCACCCGTTGTTTTGTTATAATTTTGTAATTTTATATTTTTAATTAATTAAATAGGTATTTATAAAAAAAAATATCTGTTTTCTTATTTGTATCTTAAAATGTATCTTATGATACTCTTAAGATACTTGTATCTGTATCCAGATACTAATTTAAAGTATCTTATTACAGCACTGGTCATGACTCATAAAATCATAACAATGCAAAACCCTATCAAATTGATGTTCTTAAGTAAAGAATATAATCGTATAGATGGAGGACAGTGAATATTGTGCTTCCTCAGAATTTAGTCCTAGTTTCAATTTTGTTTAACTTATAGGTATATGTACTACTTACTAAAGACAGAATGGCTAAAGTTTTCAGATAACAGCAATTGCATATCAAAGTAAAGATCTTAAATATGATAAATTAATCTTAATTAAAGATTTCGAATTAATGATGTGATGTGCCTATTTGAACTTTTAGCTAAGTTGTGTATAAAGTCATATAAAATAATAAATAAACAATGCTAAAGGTGTGTAGTGCAAATTGGTAATTTGTTTAATTAAAATAGACAGGTACAGTAGATGCTGCTTATTGGGCTCACAGTTAATTTATTGGTCCCCATTTACATGTTTACAAAAAAAAAACCAATTTGTCTATTGGTCTTATTACACCAGTTAAAATGGTCATTTTTTCATGCTATCCATTAAAAGAAGCGGATTTCCTACTTCATAATAATTTATTTGACAATTTTTTTCTTCCAAATACTTTCTTCCAAAAATTGCTGTATATATACAGGATGATCAATCTATCGTAAAACACTTATTATTTCAGAATGTATTAACTTTTTCTGGAATGTGTTTTCTAGAACATTTAAGAAACAAGCTACTCTACAAATATTTATGTTATTTTTTGTCATTTTTAGGGGAAAATTCACTACCTAATTTTAATTTTTAAATGACAACCTATTTTAAAAAATCAATAAATAGATGTTGTATTAGTTAAAATAAATTTTAGTGTTGAAATTTTTGATTTTTGTTGATCCGTTGACAAGATATTCCATTTTTAAGTTTGGGTTGGGCTTAAATATTCTAGAAAATAAATTCCAAAAAAGTTAATACTTTCTGAGATAATGAGTGTCTTATGATACATTGATGACCCTGTATATATATATATATATATATATTTACATACATTTTTTAAACACATTTTTGGTTACTAAAATGTTCTAGTTTTCAAACAGCACCTTAAAAAATATGTATATAAATATTTTAAATATTTTTGATTTTTGAACATTTCGCCTCATTAACTTGTTTAGTTAATGAACTAAAATGCTCTAGTCTTAAAGTGTGTCCAATAAGAGTCTACTGTACATTATGTTGTACTGTCTAAATAATATAATATAATAGATAATAATAATAATTCAAAAATAATTTTAGAAAAAACGCAATCGTTTTGAAAGTGCATTGTAACTCAAATAAATAATAATATATGTAACAAAAATAACAAAAATAAAAAACAATGAATGGTTTAGTAAATAAAACCAAGTATTATATAAAGTTTAGTGAACTGAACTAAATGGATATCAAAATATAAACATAAAATATGGACTCAAAAAGATAATGTGTCCAAACATTTGATTATAATGTTCAGATACTGTGTCCATAAGTATTATTCAACACTGGATGTATTGCAGATGACAGCCAATTATGTTTGGAATAACTAATTACTTCTTCTATATCTTCCTTTCTATAAAATAACAGAATATACAAATACATGAATAAGTATTTAAAACATCCATAGATAATCAGTACTTAAATTGATTCTTATATGACATTTTTTATAATTCATTTTATAATGATTTTATCATTATGGGTTCAAATAACAGTATGAAAAACTAATTATAAAACTGATTCAACAAAAGTAGTAGAAAAGAAAAAAAAGGGTTTAATAGGATTCAGAAAAAAATTAGATTGGAAAAGTGAACTTCTAAAATAAAATCATAAATTTAATTATAACAACAAAATTATAACTATTTAAAGTAAACATTTCCAGCAATATTATAAAATAGTAATTGGTGTTGTCTTTGACGTTGTCACTTAAGATTGATGGAAATTGTTTGAACTTTGTAAAACTCATGTACTTATTTTTGGTTGGCTTATTCCAACCAAATCACTCGAAACTAACTGAAATAAAACATTTCGAAAAATAAATTTAATATTTAATATCATTTTTATTTTAATTCAAATTTAATTGAAAATAAATACTCATGAGAATATAGTGTGTTGAGAATGGGTGTGTTTGTGTGTGTGTGTATGAGTGTATTTATATACATATAATATTCAACAATTCAGCCAATTAAGAATTCACTGACTCATAGCAACAGATCAAAAAATCAATTACATTAGAAGTCATCCATTGTTGTACATAATATAATTTTTCAACATTTCTTGTATGTTATTTTAGATTCTGAGTGGAGCTCGTAGAAGCTTACGGTTTTACAAAAATGTCTATTTTTTTTATCTGTTAACAACTTTTCTACTAAGAGACTTGCTCGTAGTACTTTTTCTTAAAGGAAATATGACTGGGAAAGTACTTTAAAGACGTAATTTTTCGATTTTCCCAAAAGCTTTCCAGGCAAATATGAAAAACGGGGATAAAAAATGGAAAAATCAATACAACATTAAACAAATATAATTAAAGAAAATAGAGATAGCCTTTTTAATTATTTTTCTATAATATGATGTATATATATATATTGTTGACAAAGCATTACTATTAACTGAACTCCGAATTCTGTT